TGCCCCACAACAACATCAAAATAGTGCCTCTTTGGGGATAATAATATTATTATTATTGCCACTGTTTGCACAGTTAACCAGATTTTTAGACTGGATTTGCATTTTTAGCCGTTGATCAAGTGTTTCCTAAGGACCTGGGATAGGTAATGTTCAGTGGTGTTAAAGATATTTGTATGGATGTAAGCTTTAAGTAAAGCTGCCTTTTGCAATTGACTGAGAATGATTTATTGTTAGAATGCAGGTTAATTCTGCTCACTGCCTGGAGTTCGATCCTGACTGGCTTAAGCTTGACTCAGTCTTCCATCCTCCCAAGGTTGATAAAACGAGGACCCAGATTGATGAGGGCAGTATGTTGACTCTGTAAACCACTTAGAGAGGGTGGTAAAACACTATGAACTGGAATATAAGTGCTATTGCTATTATCATTAGGCCCCTTTCTCAGCCATCTAACTGTGCAGTTCAGTTATTTCCACCAAAGTTAAAACAACTGGTGCATCTGGATCACCCCTATTCCAACCACAGTTTTGAAGGCCAGCCCTGATATCTCCACCTGGAGAATGAAACAGATCTCTTGTTTTCATTTCAGATGCGTACCATATTGTGCCGAAAAGAACAATATGAAGGATATTATTTCATAGCTCAGTGAAAAATTAGCAAGTCAAATATTGAATTGGCATAGTATATGCTAAGGAGACTGTTTTGATCTTATCCAGCTTAAAAATAAATTCCATTATTAAATTAAAAGTTGGGAACAGAGATCAGACCAATAAATGAAAGACTGGAAACGCATTTGGGAAAGCAAAAAGGAAAGGTAAGAATCTTTAGCTGGAAATGTTAAAGGTACCATACTGGTTAAAATATAGGATGGGTTAACTAATCTTCCTGATGCATTGTTGTATTGGATGAGCTCTGCATTTACTGTAAAGCTCTCAGTCTTTTCTCTGGTCCAGGCAAAAAAAGTGATACAGAATAACAAAGAGGGAGGGGACCTTGGAGGTCTTCTAGTCCAACCCCCTAGAAGATCCTATACCACTTTAGACAAATGGTTGTCCAGTTGCTTTTAAAAGCCTCCAGTGGCGACACATCCACAGCTTTTGAAGGCAAACTATTCCACTGGTGAATTGTTCTCACTGTTATGAAATTTCTAGATTCCTAGTTTTAGGTTGCTTCTCTTCTTTGTTTAGTGTCCAGCTGTTGCTTTCTGTCTTGCCTTCTAGTGCTTTGGAAAATAGGCTGACCCCCTTTAAATTGGAGCAAACTTTGGCTGTATTATATTTATTTGCACCCTGCCCATTCTCCAGGGAGCCTATGGTTATAACCAGTGTTTCTCAACTCAGCAACCTTTTAAAATGCATGGACTTCAATTCGCAGAATTCTCCAGTCAGAATGGGGGATTTTGGGATTTGAATTCCAAGTCGCTGAGGCTGGGAAACCCTGGTTAGGAACAAGAGTCCTTGGATGAGGCTAAGACACGGGTATCAAACTTGTGGCATCACATTGCCGTCACGTGATATATCCCAACTTATTTTCCCTTTGCGGAGCTGAAGTGGGCGTGGCCTGCGCATGATGCATCCAAGTCGCGGGCCGCCAATTTGACACCCCTGGGCTAAGAGATAACTGGACCAGAAACATACATTTTATTTTAAGCAGAAATGCAAATTCAGGTCTAGTGCTCTAATCACAAGGTCTCTTTAGCTGTCTTCCAGTCCAATTTAGCAGCAGTTTTTAAAAGGTCTTTTTTCCATTTCTCCAAGAAGTAGATTGCCTTTCCTCAGCACAACTACATTCTCCTTCCTGGGTGCCTGTTTGTCCCTCACTTCAAACAAAATACTCCAAATGTACAAAACGCATCGAGCTTTGTGCTAATTAAAATTCTTCTCTGTGTTATGCCGATCTCTGATTGCAGGTTCATAAGGGGCCATTCCATGATGCATTGCAGTAGTTACTTCTGAAATTGCAGCCTCAGAGTATATATTTTTTTCTTGAATGTTTGAAATCTTGTTGACTGAAACGGCTTTAATTACATCAGAGGAAATGTTTAAAATTGCCCTGATTGTAGAGGTGGCATTGAAAAGACCATATTTACGGTATCATTTTATGACGTCTCCTTAGAAGTTGATGCAATTCAAGAATTGGAAGGTGGTACAGGCTTAGGTTTGTCACATTTGAAAGGACATCAATAGGATTTTTAAAACAAATACTGCTGGGATCAATAGCTGTGCACCGAATATTTTAAATTGGAATTTATCCAAACATCAAAAATTGTGAACTCTGGGTTCATGAAGCTTAGATAAAGGTATTATTATATAAAACTGAAAGGTGAAAGCTATGCCTTTTTGTTGGTGTATGTTGCATTGTTGATTTGCATTGTTTGTCAACATCTAATTTTTTTGTTTTTTTGTTTTTCAAGACAACGAAAAAAGCTTTTGAGAAGCATGATCAAATTATCTGCAGCTGTTCTGTTTATAATTTGGGGATCTATCTATCATTTTGGCAGTGGTTTGCTCTCCAAGCTTGTTTCAATTTAGCTTCTGAACACTTCGTTACCAGACTGGGTAACATCCTCACAGGATTTTCTTGACCTCTTTCTCTTTAGCTTATATATATATATGTCTGGTGTGCCAGTGTGGTCAATTGGCTGTGTGGTTGGTTGCTCATTTGGTGCTACATTTAAATTCTGAGTAGCTGATTAGTTCTCTTGTTGATTGGTTGTTCGAGTTGTGTGGTTTCTTACATATTCATATGGTGAATTTAAATCAATATACTTGTTAATTGCTTCTCTATCTATCATTAATTTATGTTAGATTATACTGCTAACCCTGATACCCATATGCATATGTTTTCCTTATGTTAATTGGTTTTGAATAATAAAATACATTGGAAAAACCTGGGCCGAGTGAAAAATTAACACTTGCTGACTTAGGAGAAGTAACTGCACATCAAATTTTCACCACAGAAAGGCTAAGTGCAAAGTCAACGGGGGAAGCCAGATTCACTTACCAACCGTGTTACTAACTTAATAACTGCAGCGATTCACTTAAAAACTGTGGTAAGAAAGATCGTAAAATGGGACAAAACTCCCTTAACAACTGTCTTGCTTAGCCAACACAAATTTTGGGCTCAATCGTGTCATAAATTGAGGACTGATTGTACATTGCCCAACAGGCATTCTCAAGTTGAAAATCTGATCATAAACCTATTTCCCTTGTGGCTTTGGTCTTCCATTGGAATTCAGATTACAGATTAACAGAGTTGGAAGGGACCTTGTAGGTCATCTAGTCCAACCCAGCACTGCTATTTCCCATAGTCACTAGATCAGCTTTACAAGAGATGCTGTGACATTGCTGGAACTATGCTCTGCAGCCATACCATTCAGCATCCTGCATTCCATAAATGAAATAGCAAGTTTCCTTGGTTGCTCATTCTTATATACCATGGATTACTGCCCAACAATCCAGGTTTTCTACTATTTCATGTTATGAGGGGTCCTTGGTGCTCTCTGTAACATCATCACTGCTAGTAAGGAGTGTTGTTTGCTGTCAGTTTATATTTTGGTGACTTGCTTGTCTGTGTGGGTGAGGGCGGTCTTAGAGATTCTTTGGGCTGTCTGGTGATGGCTCTTTGGCAGTTCCTTGACTGGGGTATTGTCTGCTTGAAGTTAACCTTAACTAACACTGATGTTTCCTAGTTTGGGTAATGCAACATCTGCAAGAAAACAAGCAAGCTCAGAGAGCTCATTTCAACTCTGAGTTACAAATATTCTCCTTTATTATTTCACGTTAGTTTTGTTCCACTGGACTGTACTACATATCCATGTTTATCAGCCTTGGCCAATTTAAGATGGGTGGGCTTCAACTCCCAGAATTCCCCAGCCAAGGCTGAGAAACATTGATCTACCTTGTATTAGCAGGCTATCTCATACCATATTAAACTATGAGACCGCCCAATATTAATGCAACAACTTTCAGGGGTTCCAGATACCATCTTTGTTTTCTTTTGAAGCTAGACAGGCGAGGAAATAAAACAGAGGCTGTCAGTCAGTTATGTGTGAGCTCCATCACTTGAGCTGCACACATTCCCAAGAAAACGGCCAACCTCCCTTGGATACGTCTCTGAAGCACGAGACACCAGCCTTCTGAGACTTCAACCGTTATTGTTTGAAATCTTCACCCACCCCAAATAAATGCTTAATCTGCTGCTATTTATATCCATTTGCATTTTGTTAAAGAACAGCTGCCACTCAAAACACATTCGGCAACAATGATTATCTACACAGGCAGTTGTAGAAGAACATAAGAGAACCTATCGCAGCTGTGCATACGCTAGGAATGTCACTGAAAAGGTACTTTAGTATTTCGGCATTCTCCTGAAGGCTGAAAAGGGGCAGTAGCTTATGAGGGACAGGCTCCAAAAAATAGAGAAACTGTCCTTTCTACGGGAAAACAGAGGCCTAAAACACAGCTCTGTAGACTAAGTATCAGTGGGAGAAAGAATGTTGACGTGTGGTTGGTTCATAATTATTATTATTGTTACCTTTATTGTCAGAGTAGAACATGTGTACAATGAGATTGGCTGAGCCTCCTTTCATGCACACACACACACACGCCAACACAACTCACAGTGAGGACAGAAGTCCCTAACCCAGTCCCAATCTTCTTACACTATGTGACCTTGTTGCACAATGCGCCGGCCCTGCAAGTCTATCATACTATGTTGAGATGAAGTTATTTTCCATTCAGAAATCTGACAGCCCACGGGTAGAAACTGTTCTTCAGCCTGTTGGTGCGGCTGGCTATTCTTCTATATCTCCTACCCGATGGTAGGAGAGTGAAGATGCGCTGACTGGGATGTGAGTCACCCTTGAATTTTCTCACTCTTCTAAGATAGCGAGCCTTCATAACACAAACCATCCCCTCAAGGGCAACTCTCACTGGCCAGAGATTTTTTTTTTAAAGGCGCCATTTTCTCAAAAATTAGAAGCTCCCACTGGGAAAACTTACCATTTTATTATTGATTTCATGAAAATGAATCTCGCAAACTTTTTCCACCACGTCTTCGTTCTCAAAAGTTACAAAGCCGAATCCTATTGAAAAGACAGAAAAAGAAAGCATTAAAAAAAAAGGACGGTAAACAAGGTTAGATTTCTTTTTGGATTGCTTGAAAAATAAATTACTCTGAGGCACGTTGAATATATCATCAGAACAAACATGTATTGACTAGACATTTTTTTCCACAGTGGAATTTTTTTTTTCTTTTGGGGGGGGAGGTATCACATTTTTAAGAAAAAAAGAAAAAATCTTTAAGATGAATATGGATTACAGTCAACAAGAGGCTGTAGAGATGAAAATAAGACATACTTCTCTATTCCCTACCTCCAACACGATCAGATGTTCCTATACATTTAAATACATACTTTAAATGGGATATATTAAACTTGAAATTAAAAGGGCATAAAAGATATGTTATGCCTGACAGATTCTGAGTAATAATTCTCCTTGTTCAGGAAGCTCTACAGCAGGGGTATCTCATTTTGATTGTGGACTTCAATTCCCAGAATTCCCCAGCCAGCCATGCTCCATGTTTAATTGTTTTCACCTGTATCTAATTAGTGCCCTAATGGCCACACTAAAAATTTAATTGACTCATCCAATGTTTCTCAAGCTTGGCAGCTGGAAGATGGGTGGACTTCAACTCCCAGAATTCTGGGAGGGGAATTGTGGGAGTCGAAGTCCACCCAACTTCCAATTGCCAAACAATCGGGAACAATCCACTACCTACTGCCAGGAAAAGGGTGAGCTTACCAAGCTTTTCTTTCTTTCTTTCTTTCTTTCTTTCTTTCTTTCTTTCTTTCTTTCTTTCTTTCTTTCTTTCTTTCTTTCTTTCTTTCTTTCT